CCACCCATCCATCCAATCATCCACTCACCCACTAACCCACCCATCCACTCATCCACCCACCCACCCACCCATCCATCCATCCTTCCATTCATCTATCCATGCATCCACCTATCCATTCATCCATCTGTTCATCCATCCGTCCATTCATTCATTCATCTAGCCACCTATCCATGCACCCACCTATCCATCCATTCATTTAACCACTTATTCCACCTACCTATCCATCCATTCACTTACCCATCCATCTGTTCAACCATCCAATCTTCCACACCCATCCACCCACCTACCCATTCGTATATCCATCTAGCCATCCAGTAGAGGAGCCCCTGCTGGGTGCCAGATACTTTCTGCCTTCTTCAGTTCCTATGTCACCAGGCCCAAATCCAGCTAAAGAGATGTCTCCTTGGCTGGGCTCATTGGCACGCCTAATAATCCTAGCTACTCAGGAGGCTGAGGCCAGGGAATTGCTTGAACCTGGGAGGCGGAGGTTGCAGTGAGCTGAGATCACGCCCCTGCACTCCAGCCTGGGCTACAGAGCGAGACTCCATCTCAAAAAAATTCTGAAGTTTTACAAACCACCAAGTCATAGAAGGTCAGTGATCCACAGATTAGAACACCCTTCCATTGTAAAGCATCTCTAAGGAAAAGCATCAAAGAGAAAAAGATAACGGACTGAGAAAATGTTTGTAAGATACCTGGTGATAAAAAGAGTCAATACCTCTGATGGAGCAGCTAGAGATCACAGATGCTGGGTGGGAGGGCAAGTCCCAGAAGAAACCTCTGTAACTGATGAGGACCTCGCTGGGCTCTCTGGGAACCCGGGAGCAGGAATTCAGCTGACAGCGATGTTCTTCTGCGTCTCAGAGAGTCACATGCTGGGTGTTGAAGAGGGTGTGGGCACACACCATCAAATGCCGATAGGAAGCCTTCCTGGAGAGCAGTTGGGCTGCACTGGTCCCATTTTTAAATGTTTGCACCCTTTGAATCAGCTATTTAAAAGAGATCCTGGCCGGGCGTGGTGGCTCACGCCTGTAATCCCAGCATTTTGAGAGGCCAACGCAGGTGGATCACCTGAGGCCAGGAGTTCAAGACCTGCGTGACCAACATGTGAAACTGCGTCTCTACTAAAAATAGAAAAATTGGCCGGGTGTGGTGGCGCGCACTGTAATCCCAGCTACTCTGGAGCCTGAGGCAGGAGAATCACATGAACCCAGGAGGTGGTGGTTGCAGTGAGCCGAGATCGTGCCACTGTACTCCAGCCTGGGTGACAGAGTGAGACTTAATCTCAAAAAAAAAAAAAAAAAAATCCTATCCTGACAGACATGGAAATGATATATGTGCAAGGGCATTCTTAGCAGAATGTTTGCAACAGCAAGGACATAACTCAGAGTGATCTGAATGGGAACAATCCATCCTGAGGTGCTGGAGTCCAGACCCTGGAATGCCGTGCGGCCGTCAAGGTGCCAGGGTGAGCCAAGCCCTCGCAGTGCTTTCCACGCAGTCACCATGCAGGCCCAGCTGCCCACTAAGCTCCAGTCCGCTGTGGACTGACGCTTTTGTTGACTACTCTAAAAGTGTGGGGTGGTTCCTAACTACACTGAAAGCCCCTAGCGCTTATTCTCATTTTCGGTACCATGTCACATGGGCCTGCTGAGCACACTGCATAGCAAGGTCTGGATGTGTCATCATGGAAAAGCAGCAGCCTGCAGGGGAATATGTTTAGACCAGCAAGCCAGCGCACAAAAGGGCATGTGTGTGTGTTTGTCCATATGCGTTTGTATGCAAGACTGTGTGTGTGCACACGCATTTGTATGTGAGACTGTGCACATGTGCATTTATATGAGACTGTGTGCACACGTGTTTTTGTGCAAGACTGCACACATGTGTTTGAGACTGTGTGCACAAACGTTTGTATTTGAGGCTGCACACGTTTGTATGTGAGACTTTGTGTGTGCACATGCATTTATATGCAAGACTGCACGTGTTTGTGTGCGAGACTGTGTGCACACGCATTTGTATGAGACTGTGCACGTGTGCATTTATGTGACTGTGTGTGCACGCGCATTTGTGTGCCAGACTGTGCACACATGCATTTGTATGACTGTGTGCACACACGTTTGTATTTGAGACTGTGTCTGCACATGTTTGTATTCGAGACTGTGCACACGTTTGAGAGACTGTGTTTGTGTGTGCACATGTATTTATATGCAAGACTGTATGCGCGTGCGTTTGTGTGCGAGACTTGTGCACACACATTTATGAGCGAGACTGCACACGTGTTTGTATGTTAGACTGTGTGTGTGCATCCACACACCCACAGGGAGGACTCAGTGGAAGTTTGTCCATTTCTTGGCA